ATCTTGTCACCGCAATGCCGCGTTCAATGCTGTATTACAATATTTTGACAGTAATCACGAAAGTAGCTAGAAAACATTCTCTGTTAGCACCATGACGTTAATTTAGTCCTGTCGTAACCGAGAGTTAGCTCTGTGTCAATATCGGCGCTTCGACCTGTTAAAGACATAACGGATTACTATTGAAGCGTGTATTTCGACATCCGTTCCGGATAATCGCGTGTCTTCATCCGGCGTCTCGCTTATGGCGACAAAATACCTAAACGGCAGTACAAACGATCCGCGCGAGCACCCAAGAGAAGTACGGACCTAATAGAGTTTCGGAGTGTATCGTCACGCGAGCTCTAACGAGCTTAAATTTCGGTTTAAATTTGTTTGACGGAACGAAACGTAAACAAAACGAAAGTGTACGATAGCGTGCACGCGTACATGGTCCGCACGTGTCATCGCGTCGTTCATTCAATGACAACCCTCGTGCTTTCGAGAGGAACTTCCAAGGTTTTTGCGCATCGCGTGTATTCACATACGCAAGAATGGACAGCTTCGATGTCGCTTTTCTCTCTTCCCCCCCCCCCTTTTTTCTTTTTTCGTGTTCCTTTTCACTGAGAGACTCAAATTTATTCCGATTAAATTCCCAGCATTACCCACGCCTTTGCAACGGATAAGCGCATCGCACGGTGCATACGTGTATATGTATCTATGTACGCGAGTCGTTCGAGAAACCGGTTTCCCGTACGTTTTAATTTCACGCCGACATCGGCGCAATTCAGTTTACACGGATACTCCCCGTTTTCTAACGCGCGCGTCTCGCGAGATTAACGCACCGACCGTGCGTGCACGTGCGTTTTTGGGAAAAGTGCACTGCGTGTCGCGTAAAATCTATACGAGACCTGCACTGGAAGACCGCGCTTTAATCCTGCGAAAATCTGTTGCAATTATCTCAATGCGTCATCGCTCCTCTGCAATTATCTCTTGTGAGCCAAGATCAAAGTATAGGTAATTATATCGCGGTGGAAATACATATGTGGCAACAAGTTCTGTCATTTCAAATATCGTCTTTGTTTTGGTCACTTGAAAGTTACGCTGCGCATAGTGATTGACGGATATTTTTATGAAGTACCACTGGTATTTATCTTTTTCGATGGAACATCAAGGTTCGCCGATTATTATCTCGGTGGAGCACATTGCGACGAATAATAACTTCGTTGTTTCAAGTGTTATCTCTGTTATTCGTAGGTTGCATTACATACAAAATTAATGTTTTTATAAAAAAATATAAGGACACTGATAATTATCTGAAGAGAACAGCACGATAATTATCTCAGTAGAGCACAATACAAGGAAATATTGGAAAATTATTCAAGAAATGTCATTTCTATTATCAATCACTCGCAGATTGCGTTCGGCGCTAAGTGCCGTGATATGAGAGAGAATTATTTTATGATACAAAAATTATTGGTAATTATCCTGTTAAATATCTTCTGAATGATCAGATAACATGATATATCATTTCTCAAGTTAGAATTTTATTGGAAGTATTTGTTTTTTTTTATCGGATTTCAACACAAATCGCCTTTTAAACGTTCATGTAATTACGACTAATATCGATTAATATTTTATGTCACATTTATTAATTATTAAGAGACATCGTTTAGCGCGTTATATTTATGATTTGTTTTAAATTTAAGTGATTGATATTTTTTAATCGTTAAAATGTTTTTACAAACTTCCGTTCAGTGACGAGTGTCCAAATTTAAACGCACTATTTTTGACGACGATATACAGTCCCGGGTGACACCAGTTGAAAATCAAAGGATTAGATGTTAAAGTTTCACTGCTTTCTCACTGATCGACGCACAATATCGATTAAAGAACAGTCCATTAATGTGCTCCGATTTTTCACTCGTTGATCCAAAGAAAGTGATGATCCCAAGAAAGTGGCAATCGTAGAAATCAGCAACAAGAATAGCCCGGAATTGATTACGATTGACGCGACGTCGATGAGAAGAATGTCCATTAAGAAACCGTGACTTGGCCTGTCAGTAGTGTTGAAATTTCAGATCGTGACACTTGCGGAGAAGCATAGCTGCAGTTTCATTTCAGTCATGTAAAATCAGCAAAACTTTTGTGCAAACAAATTTATCTCAGAATATCGTGTTAAAAAATGCATAGCCGCAACTGTCTTCAAGTTCAAGTGACAGCGTTTTTTCCACTAGAAGAGCATCACATTCGATAACTTCAGTATTTTCAAACAGTTTGAGTCTTTTTTTTTCGGGAAAATCTTGGATTGAGAAATTATCATTTCATCGACACGAATTTCGATTGCGCTTGTCATTCCAAATTGCTTTCTCGCGGCAGATCGATCTTCCTCGCCAGAGCAGATCATTTCCTTCTCCTTCATCGTTTCCGTCCTCTTCGATGTAGCAGACGGGATGCGTCCGACGGGACTTCCATAGATTTCAGGATTTACATGTTATTGCGCAGGTATCTCACTTCAGGTACCGATATCTCGATCCGTTGCTCCGACATCGCTCAACATCACTCACACCAATATACGAGGCACTTTCGATGCACAGTTCGTCGTTCAACTCTCCGCTCTCACTCGTCATCGTCCTCGTTGATGTTTCTCCGTTTATCACGATTTATCGACCGTATTTTACAATCACCATAAAATTGAAGCGTTTTATTTTTTTATCCGCGAAGAGATTAATGCCCATTGATATCCGTGTTTTATTTCAAAGATCAATTTACCATCACGTGTATGTGTGAATAGAAGATTATTCTTGGTTAGACGCGATCGTTGAAGATAATCATTATGTAACGCGGCGACAGTTTCAAAAGGTCTCGATTCGCGTCAGCGTTCGCGAAAATATTCTTCGGTATGGACTTTGTCGAGTATGTGTCGAGTGCCAAAGCAACTGAAGCACCTATTCGCAGAGAATGTCACCGAAGTTAATGATCGGTCGCTGTCACGTCTGGAGGTAATCCAAAAGTCAAAACTGCGCTCTCCTCGTTCGTCCCGTTTCGAAGCGCAGCTGATCTCGTCGCGCGCACAAAACATCGACCGCGTGTTTCTCCGGCGAGCGTCCAAGTATGCTACGTCAAAGTTGTTCGGTTGTGTTGTTGTATATCGCATGAATATGTGTGGCATTGTGTATACTGTAGATGTCGTGGTCACGCGATGTATACTATCATCTCTTCTATGAAGCGCGAATGTATCGTTGCGTGAATTCAACGTGTCAACTCACCTGCAGTATGTATCCTCGCGTGTAATCCTCGTGGGTCCAACCGAAGGCAGCTAGGATACGTGTCACTTGCGCGGGGGGCAACTGGTTGAACAACTGATCGAGCAAGATCTTAAGGCGTATCGGCAGTGCGCGCGAGCCGTAGAGTACGAGGGATGCGACGTCAAACGCGGCCGTCGGCTCGACAGTCTCTGAAGCCGGTGGCCTCTCCTCCTTCTCCGCGACTTCGCCACCACCACCGGCACAACCACCTCCACCACCACCGCTGCCGTTACGATCCCCACCGAGGGTACCGCTGCCACCACTACCACTGTCACTGCCACCACCACTACTGCCACCTCCGCCGCCGCTGCCGCCGTCACCTCCACCCCCTCCTCCACTTCCTGCACTACTAGTCGCTGGTGCCGTCATCGTCGTCGTTGCCGTCGCCGTCGTCGTCGTTGCCGCCGCCACCGCCGCCGCCGCCGCCGCCGTCGTCGTCGTCGTCACCGATGCCGGGTGTTTTACCCTCCCTACGACGCTTTTATCCTCCCTACCAGTAGAACGAGGGCCGGAGACGACATCCCCACTACTCGCACCACCACCACTACTACCACCACCACCACTACTACCACCACCACCACTACTGTGGAGCCGCTGCTGTTGTTGAGCATGCTGCTGCTGCTGCTGCTGCTGTTGCTGCTGCTGTTGCTGCTGTTGGTGGTGGATGTTTGACAGTCGCGCCAGCGCTGAAACACAAGCAAGTGGAAAAGAGAGAGGTCAGAAAAGAACCTTCTTGCCGGTAGTGCACGCGTGCGTGCGAGCGCGCGCGCGCGCGTGTGTATGTGTGTGTGTGTGTGTATGTGTATGTCAGTGAGTGAATGTGGACAAACGTCCTCTGTCGTTCCTACTTCTCCCACTGTGTCCCCACCCTGTCCAGCCCCCCTCGCGTGCCCCACCAGTGTCCCTAGCTCTGGATACTCCCACCCCCGCATCATACTCTTGTCTTTCTCGTTCGCGTGTCGCGTCTCTCTTTCTCGCGGTTCGATTTCTCTCTGTCTCTCTCTGTCTCTCTCTGTCTCCCTCTGTCTCTCTCTGTCTCTCTCTCTGTCTCTCTCTCTCTCTCTCTCTCTCTCTCTCTCTCTCTCCCTCCCTCTCTCTCTCTCTCTCTCTCTCTCTCTCCCTCCCTCTCTCTCTCTCTCTCTCTCTCTCTCTCTCTCACTCCGTCGCCTCCGTTCTGGTCGTCCCCTCAAGCGGACTCAGAATGTCCCCCTGTCCCCACCCGCTTTTCTATCCTTCTCTCTCCGATTCTGTCTCCGGTATCGTCGAAGCAACCTAGCACGGTCGCCGTGGCACCGAGGGTACTTACTTACCCCCATCCGTCCTCGCGACCGGACCTACCATCTCCCACTCCTGACCAACCCTACTACTAGCACTGCCAGCGTCATTTCTACCACTACTATTGCTACCACTATCGTTTACTACTACTACACCGGCATCATCAGTCCGATACTACCACTAGTACCGTGCCACCACTATACGCCGAGTATACGAGGATGATCGTGATGAGTCGCGAGGCGAATCCCCTCCATCTGAATTTTCTCATGAGACTCTGGCATCCATCAACCTGCTGCTGCCGCCACCGTCGTACCGTCTCGACTTGTACGAGGATCATCCGCACGCTACCGGCACGGCAAGAAGAGAACAGTATCCGCAGGTATCTTCGCGATGCGATTTCGTTCGATTTTTATGTATCGGGCTTTGAACTATATATAATAGAACTATTCAAACTTGAAATAAATAAAAAAAATTGATTGTTTATGCTTTCCCCTCACTATACCAGATTGAAATAATGAAAATATATGTTACGCAAATAAGTATATGATATATACCGTTTCATTGCTTAAGATATGCATAATCACGTGGAATTCAATTTGTTTTAAAGTGTATGACTGAGATTAAAGTGAGATGTATAATGCACTCCGTTGTATACACACGTATATACGATACTATCCAGAATTAATACAGGCTACTTTGTAGTGCAGTTGTGTGGATAATCCGATTCGAGTTGCACTTTGATATTCGAGGAGAAAGTTGATGTTGCGAAGGTGGTGGATGGTCATAAGTAGTTCGATGCAAGGTGCGTCGTATAAATGAACTCGCAATTTGTAATCGTAAGGGAACATATAGCAATACATGTTCATTTGTGATAGAACAAAAAAAAAATATATATAATATATATA